AAATCCTTTAAATTAATAACTGGCATTGGGTATTTTATTAGTGTACATCTACTACTAATAGTGTGACAAGAATAAGAGTACCAGTTCATTTCTTAGGATTATGATAATGGAGAAAGTACCAGGGGGATCCTATAAAGGTGCACCTTTTTATTCAGATCTGAGCTGATGTGACCTGTGTGGAGACTCTCCAGACTTTATACCCAACAGGAGAACAAGTTTTAATATCAGCTGTCTGGTTTCAGGCTTCAGTGAAAGGTTGGCCTGCTCTACAAATGTGGACTTTGCAGCGTTGGGATTTCTGAAATCTGGTTTTCTTAGAAAAAAAAAGGTGAAGCATGCTTAGTTTAGTGCCCTAAAATAAAAAATAGCCTGGCAGAATATTTCACTTAATAATTCAAACTAGAAGATACATTTCAGCATGACTTACCAGTGGAGGAGACATTATTAATGGCCTTCCAGGACTTTCTGATGTTTGCATCGCAGTTATAGCCACTTCTGGCAAAGTCTTGAGTTACTATTTTGTAGAAATCTCCACATGGCACCATACCAGGGAACTGCCATATTGGTGCGGAGGCTGCCAGAGCTCTGAAATACGAGAAGAAGCAAAACTGTTTCTATATTTTATTTATTTATTTTCTCAGAATTACACATCCATCATCCTCAGTAATCTAGGGATGAGTAAACATGTGTGCTTGGGCAGAATGGTGCTCGTTTAGAAGTTAGAGAATGATGAGGATTCAGCCTAATGTCTCATAGAACAGACCGCAAAGATTCATCCTGTGGACTCCACGGAACATCTGGTGTTTGTTACGGACGTTTATTCACCAACAGGAGACAAGGAAGGTAAAATTTCAGGGGTTTTTTTTGGCCAGAAATAACCGAATTCTCAGGTACTGAAGCAGATCTTTAAAATCTAGTGTTTAGAGCTGCAAAAACACAAAAAAATGCTCGTATATATTTGGGGTAGGGCTGCAGGGTGGCACAGTTGGTTAGCACTGTTGCCTTGCAGCAAGAAGGTTGCCGGTTCGCGTCCCAGTGGGGGCACCGGAATCTTTCTGCGTGGAGCTTGCATGTTCTCCCCGTGCAGCGTGGGTTCTCTCCGGGTTCTCCGGCTTCCTCCCACACAGTTCAAAAACATGTTGAGGTTAATTGGTGATTCTAAATTGTCCGTAGGTGTGAATGTGAGTGTGCTTGGTTGTCTGTCTCTAAGTGTAGGCCTGTGATAGACTGGTGACCTGTCCAGAGTGTCCTACGCCCTAAGTCGGCTGGGATAGGCTCCAGCCCCCCCGCGACCCTAGTGAAGATTAAGCGGTGTATAGTTAATGGATGGATAGATGGATATTTGGGGTACGTTGACCTGCAGGTCCGGAAAACTACACCAATATCTTACCCAACAACAACGTTGGGGTATTTCATCCTGAACCAGGCAGCGAGCATCCCCCCGTAGGACCCTCCGACAGCGATGACGGGGCTCTGCTGAGCTCCAGGTAAAGTGCTCTTCAGGTTCTGAATCAGAACTGCAAAATCTGCCAGGGCCTGCTCCGCGGTCAGGTAGTTCAGGTGTTTGCTGTCCTGCAATCGAATGATTATAAAAGCATTGTTTTAAAAAAATGTGGTGGGCACCGACAGAAAAATAAAACCTAGCCTCAGGCAGTGGATGTGCAAATTAGTTTAGCTGATAACTATTTCAACCTGAAGCTACCACACACCAGAATTTAAGAAATAAACTTGTCTTGATGAGCATCATTAAAATATTTAAACATTTTTTAAACACATATTGTAATCAGACTTCAATTAGATGCATAGGCGTGACCCTGCACATTCACTTACACTGTAAGAGTCTTGTCCAAATGGCAGCGACTCTCCATAGTAACGATGTTCTGCAAAAACCAGCATGGCGCCCAACTCCTCCGCAATTTCCCACATGAAGCCCTAAAGAGAGAATGACAACAGGTGTCCAATTAGACCGAGGATTACACGCACGGTAAATACACACAAGTAACAGCTGGATGTTTTACTGTGTTGTTGCAGAACCAGGTGATGTCGCCTTCGTTTCCAGTGTAGAACAAAATGGGTCCTCCGGGCTGCTGCCAGTGTTTGTCAGCCACGAGGTATCTCTGCTTGAAGGTGCCATCCTCCAGGAATCCGAAATGATCAATCTGGAAGACATGAAAACAGGACAACAGATTTAATTAGGAGTAAAGGCACAAACCAATCGCTTACATTAGAACTCGTTTGACAGAAAATTCCTTTAATGGAAACCAGGAAGTTAAGTTTAAACCGTATTTCTTGGTGATTCATTATTATCATCAATTAACCTTTAACAATTTAACGACTGCATTTTCATACATTCTGTGCTAAAGATCAGTTAAAATCCTCACTGACTGACATATACGATAAGTCACCCATTCATGAGATGCATATACACTCTGATGTGTCTCCCCAACAGCCTTGTAATCTACTCATCCTTTGTAAAGCTTTTAATATTCAGTTTTTGTTAAGTCTGTGCCAAGAGTTGTTGATTCAACCCCTTTCTGAGCCTGTAATAGTGTATTCTTTATATTAACGCTGAAGAGCAATAAGAGCTACTGAGACTAATGGTTAGTATTCAAAGTGCAGTTACATTAGGGAGTCGTCCTGATTTGAGCCACAAAGCGTGCTCCCTCTTTCAAGCACAAAGCAGCGGAGCAAATTTTCCACAAAATTAGAGGCAGAGCCACAAAACGCACAGTATAATGCAGAGATAAATAAAAGAGACTCTTCTGGGAATTGGTCACCCTTGTCAGCAGAGATGTTGATGCTGGAAACAACACACAACATTATAAAAGGATGAAACGCAGTCCACAGAAAGTGCTTTTAAGTAGGTGTGATCCTTGTATACCTGGCCCCGTGCCAGCGATGCTGTTGTGAAATGACAGTCCCGAGGCTGGATTCTAAGGGTAATTAGCCCCAATTTGTATTAAAAAATGCTGGAGCCATTTTTAAGGGGATGCCACATTAGTTCCACTTTAGATGAGCTCTGAAATATCCTTTCATAAAACCTCGGGGATTCTGGTGTATCTTCTCCTTTCAAGCATATTTCCTGTGTTCTTTATTAGACAAAGGCAGAGAGAAAACAACAACTTCACAGAGAAGACAACCCCATGAGGCTACTGAGTAGTCCAACCCTGGAAACAGCCCCAGCACTTAATACAAAATGTTTCTGTTTTGTTTTTCCCCCGTCCTCGCTCTCTTCTCTCCTCGGCGGATACAAAGGAGGCAGCAATTTTATGAGCCAATGACAGCAAAAAGATTCTGGGGCCTCAATGTGTTCATTCAAGCCTCGACTCCTTCACACTTGGCAGTGCTTTTAAGTGCGAGGGGACCATGAGACAAAGTTCAGCAGTTTGGCAGCAACGTAAGTTTCAGTGGTATTGGTGGACCACAATGCAATCTTAGATCTTTGTACGTAAAGCGTTTTAATGTTGCTTTGTGTTCTTTAAAAAACACATATATTGAGCTCAGACTTTGTGTCACATGTACATTTATTTAATCAATAACCAGGTTTTTAAATGGTACACATCCGACTTTGAGAAGTAAACTCTTTAGCTGAATTCTCTCTCGCAATGCAGACGAAAATATTCCAGAGAAAACTACGATCTAAATAGCAAAAACCAAAGTGTCAGAATATATAAAGTCTTGCAGCAAAAGGACCCCCGGTGAGCACTGTATCACTTGTTCCCACTCAGTATGCACATCACAAAACCTGTGAGATTGGTTTCATAACACATCCACACCCTGATACGTAGTGCCACCATGTGGCTGCAGCGGGCAGCACTTCAGCAGTTTGCCTCAAATTAAAATTCACTGCATATGCTGCACATCTACCAAGCCAGAACGCCGCCGATTCCACAAGACAGGAGGCTGCGTCTGTTGTCCGGCAAACGCAGACATGAGGAGGGAACAAGCAAAGCTCCAAGTAAACTGCTGCAGTTAATTTGAAGGATGCTTCAGGACACTTCCATTCATTGTCTTGAGGCCGAATGCAGTCAAGAGGATTTCCGGACGACAACTGCTGGATCACTTGGTGCTCTCTTCTCAGCAGTTGGCAGGGGGGGGAGAAAAAAGTGTAGAAAAAAGGCTGCATGATTGATGATTCTTTTGTGATAACAGCAGACTGCTGCTGGAAATTGGTTTACAAGGATTGTATGTGTTGTCCTTGTCGAGAAGAAGAAGAGCATACTTGTTGTTGATTGGCCTAAAAACCCACATCAGACGAGACAGCGGGCGTCAGAGGGCAGGAAATGGTCTTTATCTCCTTGTCAGCTTGGCTGATTAAACAGGATGTCGTGGGCTGGACCAGGTGTGGAGCATTATCCCCGCATCCAAACATCATTAACAGTATTAATAGGACTTACGTCAGCAACTACTGTTCATTCATTTTAATTTAATATGGAGATTATTTTTTAATTAATCAATTGGTTGATATAAAAATGCCCAGTACAAATTCTAAGAGAATAAAAGGACGATAAAATGTCTTGTTTTTAAATGTAAGACAACTGAAGGTGACAAACCCGCACATTTTAAAACTTGGTTTATTTCCCATTTTGCTCATAAATGTTTCAATATTTACTCTACAGCAAAGAAAATAGCTGCAACAACTGAACACTAAAATGTCTTGGCTAATATACTACACACATTAGAACACTGTGTGTCTAATCCTACATGGAAAATGTAGTAAAGCCAAGACAATTAATTTGTTTTCTTCATTATTCTTCTACCATTAACTCTTTACTTTTGATTAAAATAAGAATCTGGATTTTTTTTTTTTTAAATTTGCCTGAACAACTAGCACGACTTCTGGAAAGTGATGCGAAACCTTCAAATGTGTGAGTTATATCTGAACAAGCTACAACTAGTTGCCTTGCATGAATGAATATCAAACAGGAGGTGGCACAAACTGTAAGAAGCACATCCATGAGAGAGCAGAACAAAGGGGGAAAAAAATCTGTTACAGTCCATTAAATCACAGAGTTAAGATCTAAATTATGATTACTGGCTCATGTACCACAGCACCATATTGACCTATTTTAAGTTCCCATAACACACAGCTGATTAATCAGCACAAGATGAAGCTGAAGATGGATCACCAGCCACTGCTGAAGTCATAGGAAAAAGACAAACACGGTCTCGTGACTGCATGAGTCATATTCACAAAGCCAGATGATGTGTTGCAAGCCCTCCACATGCAATCTCCATAAAGTAACAATAAAATGGAACACGTAGAGGCTGGATGAGGATCTCTCAAGCCTCCCCGAGGTAAAGCGTTTAGCATCCACTGGGCCCCGGAGACCTCTTTAGGCAGCGAGCCAGGAAAGACAGTTAAAGATCTGCTGGCAGGAACGAAGCCAATTGTGATGCTTTTCCCCTCACTACAGGAAGCCTCGTGGGAAACACCTACTGTATTGTCTGCACACACAACACACGGACCTCTATAGAATTAAGTGCATTGGGGATTTTTAGAAAGAGCAAGTGGTGGAATTATTTGAACAGGGCAAACAATGAAGCCAAGTTATGTAGTGGCAAATAAAAAGGTGAGTAAACTTAATGAGGCTGGAAGAATCACATCATAGAATCAGGTATATTTTTCAGAAAGCACTTCTGATGCTGAAATCAAGTATTATTTTACATCATATGTACTTCTTTTAAAAGGCACATATTGAAGTTAGTACCATTTGAAAGTGAATTCAGCATTTCTAATGTACAAAGCAAGTATTTAAAAGAGAAGTGAAAGAGAAAGAAGCAGATAAAAGAGGAAGAAAGCAGTTTGAAATCAATGCGTAAAACACCATTTTATGGACACATTGTAGGTGACAAAATAAACTTTAAACTCACCTTTTGGTCAAAATAAAATGTCTTATAGCTGATGGGGGGATCGGAGGAGTAAGGCAGCCCACCTAGCCTGGTGAAAAGTTTAGATTTAAGTGCAGTCACGTGTAAACAAACCAAACACAGCGTTAGGACGCAGGTAGCTGCAGCTCTGCCCAAAACCTCCGTCCTGCCTGCAGCCATCACCGCTGCTTCTGTCAAATCCAAGTCACAGCAAACTGATCCTCAGCGCAGGAGGTCGCATGATCTGTCTGTGTTTGCACTGAGGACAGGAGGCTCGTCCCGTTAAAGAAAGGAAGTGAGACTCCCCTGTCAGCAAATCCAAAGAGGTGTTACCGGGCAGCCGGTGGAGTGACTTTATCATCGGAGCTGAAGGATTCCGTCGCTGCTGCTGCTGCTGCAGGACGCACCGGGGTCAGAGTCTTCTCAACATTTCACCAACTTTCATTTAACTAGAGTCACAAAGCAGCCATGGATGTATGGAGCACACAGCAGACGGCTCTTACTGTAGATATCTCGCAGTGGTTGATGGGAGATTGAGTTCTACATGGGCGCGCTGCTGCCTCCAGTGCCACAAACAGATCTCTGCCTCAGATCATCAACATTTATTTATGCGTATTTACGCACCGCCAGGGGCCAAAGAGGGGCAGTGTGCCCCAGGTCGGGCGAATAAAAGCACAATAAGCGACATGTTGCACTAAATAAGACTTAAACATGGTGGCAAATACCGGAAATACGTCACAGAAATAGGCACTTGACTATAAACTCTGTAGAAGGCAACTTCATGCGGAGGTTTGGCACTGAAAATAGAAACTGGAGAAGGACCCGGCGTCACCTGGCAGATATTGTATTTCAAACAATGCTGACGAGGTACATTTCAAAACCATGCATAAAGTACACTGTCAAATGAAAGCTGTTATCTGAGCCTGTGATTGCTCAAGTGGTGGCCTTGAATATGTGATTAATAAAGTTTTTAACCTTTTCTCCTGGAACTGATCTCTCCTCTGAAATTGTTCAGTTTACTAAACAAAAACAACAACAAGTTTCTCAAAAGTAGTAAAATTTTCTGTCCTGTAACTTTAGATCAAATAAGTTATGTGCATATCCTATTGTTTGTTCTGTATATGTTCTCTAACCTTATTCCTATGATGTATGTCCAATCTACATGTGCTACTGATGTTTAACAAGCATTCATATGTCACTTTTTTATTTTAATATAAAAGTACACATAAAATTGCAAATACTGCAAGTATACACAAGCAATGAAAGACCCTGCATTTTTATAGGGATATGTACAACAGATATTTATTCTCGTAGCCATACTAATAATGACAATAAAAAGAAGAAGCAGTTCAACTTATACAGCACTTTTCTTAACAGTGTTACCAAGCCCCTCACAAAAGGATTAAAAACAGCAAAAAAAACCCAGAAATGATTCAGTATTATAATATCCATAAATTCACAGATATATGAAAGGTTTTCGAAAAGAAATGCTGCGGGAGGACATTGGAGAAAAGTAATAGCTTTAGCCAATCTAATCTGAGATGGTAAGTCATGACAAGGGTTCAGGTTCTGGACTGCAAAAGTATGACAGCAGAGTGGGAGATACCAAAAGATCTCAATCTGCTGATCTACAATGACATCCAGGCTCTTACGGGGCCAAAAAGTCATGTCTTGGTCCTGCAAGGCCTTGAAAGTCAATCAGAAAATTTTATATATCTGCGTACTGATGATCTTTTACAATCTGTTTACTAATAACCCGACCAAAGGGCAGGATGTCTGTAAACATTAATAGATCCGAGGCTGTCCCATAAGGAACACAATGTGTAAAATGGCAAACTAAAGACCAGGAATTTCCAACTACGGCATAAAAGGTTCTATTTAAATGCTATTGGCTGTGAGCAAACCTTTTCCAACCAACACAAGTTTCAAGAGTGGTCTACTGTAACAAACACTCAGGTCACCTTAATCCACAGGAAGCAGTAAATCATTTGCTACATTACCGAAGGCTGTCTCAGTCTGAAAGTTATTGAAAACGTCTTAGTCCTGCACACATAAGCAACCAGTCAAGAGGTAATAAATTCCTTCAACATTTTAGACAGAAAAGAAAGTTTAGAAATTGGTTGGTAAGTGTAGAGACTGAGCAGGTCACGGCTGGGTTTGTTTAACAGGGGTTGCACAGTTTAAAATAAGAGGAAGAGTGTGGCAAAGGAGCAAATAATAACTTTTAGGATTCAGAGGCTCAAGAGTTTAGAAGGAATCTTGTCAATCTGGGACGAGCATTTAATATAAGAGGCATTGGCTTCAGAGAGACATAGTCCCAGAGTGAGTCAGCAGCATCTGATACGATCACAGTCTTAATATTCTCCATCATTTTAAGAAAATAAACTAATTTATTGCTGTGTTTAGCATTGGATGTTGTGGAACATCTCACAGCAGAATTCAACCTAAAATTAAACTTCTGAATTACGGCCACTTTTTGGAAATCAAGCTGGAAAAACAGACCGATCCAGCCTCTTTAACCGCAGCCTGACAGCGGGCCGTGCGGCGTCTTAGGATGTCAAGAGAGAATTGTAACCCGTCTGCCTTCCAAATCCTCTCAGCTTTTCTGCATTCTCCCTCGTGGACCCGAGCGTGCTCATTAAGCCACGGAGAAGGATTCGACTTTTTCCTCTCTGAATCTGAGAGCGGCGACGTGGTCGGAGATGGAGAGGCAGATATTGTTGAGTAAATAAGCCGAGGCATCGGGGCTCCTCTGCTGCACAAAGAAGGCTGAGAGAACAGGCAGAATCAGCAGGAAGGACGTGTGACAGGACGGTTAATCAGTCGATGGAAATAAAGGAAAGTTTCTGAGGATGACTGCAGCGCTACCACCCCAAGAGACATGAATACGAATTTCATTTTTTAAAAAAGAGTCATAAACAATAACATATGACAAATACAAGATATTTAGTGTTACTGTTTAATGTTATACAGAGTATTTTAGGGATTACTTTGTACACATAAAGGAAAAGAAGCACAACATCCCAATAGTGTTTCCTTTGTATTTCCCATATTGTCTCGACAGGAAGATGCAAGGGATTAGCCATGAGTAACTGCTGTTAAATCTAAAAGGTAAAAGGCAAAACAAAACGCTCGCCAGTTTTACAAAGGGATTACTGAAAATACAAAATTATAAAAGCAAAGTGCCGAGATGTACTACAGTACTAAATCTGTACAACAAAAAAAAAAGACAAAATGTTACGATAAAAATAAGTGTGCAGTATATGGCATTGTGCAATACAGTACATTACAGTTATGGCAAATATATGAAAGATAAAAGTTAGACACTACAAATTATGGCTAAACATGCTCAACAATCGAGGAGTTTCACAATAAAAGCATATGAAATACAACGAGTCATACGAAACTACATGAACATACCCCTTCAAACAATTTCATGGCTAGGCAGCAACAACAAAAGGCAGAGATATTCACGTCTATGGGTAACGAAAAGAAAAAAGCTGACGGTCAAAACAATCTCACTCGATTAAAACTGCTCGTAGTTTCTGCTGATGACGGCCTTTCCGACGGCTTCAAAACTAAAATCAACCGACTAATCACAAGCACTGCAAGTATACTAAAAAAAATAATAATAATGGCGTCACAGAATACTGTAGTATTTTTTACACATTTTTGAGTTTATGTTATTTGACTTAAAAACATATTTTAGCAGCAAGTAAAAATAATTCTATTGGGAACAAATATTTCACAGTATGTAATGACAGGTGCAAATAATGATTCGGAAATGAAATTATGTAAGTTAATAACATTGTACGCTATTCTCAGAGCAGAAGAAACCGTAGTGGAAAATAAATGATTGTGCAACAGATTTTTAGGTAAATTTGCAAAGCTGTTGTTGTTGTTTTTTTTTGCCATTTGATCAAACTTAGCAAATTTCAAAAATGTCCTGTATGTAAACATGTTACCATTAACCGATAACCTCCGATGATCGTAAAACGTCTCGTCAGCTATGTGGGATCTGTGACAAAATACCTGGCAGAGCTTTTCACTCACATAATACTGCTGGTGAATATTGATGTCTGATGAAAATGGATCATAAAACCCAAACAGGAAAATCCTGCAATTTCACAATGAGGATAAAATGGAGCCCTACTCAGATTCCTGGATGCATCAGGCAAACACTTTACATTATGTTGCACTGAGGATTATGTTCTCCATAATGGCAGCATATTAAAATGCCTGTTCCTGGAAGGCCAAACTAAAGTTGACTAACTCCCTTGTACAGCTTAAAAAAGGCATGGGACTAGAAATGACCAGACTAAGAAGTGGCATTATGCCATCTTAGCGGGACGGAGGCATTGGGGCTTAGCCATCTACCCTCTACAGTCAATGGCTACTGAGTTGCCATGGCCAGACGGCTGAGCTCTCTCTAATTGAGGCTGCAGCAGCTCAAGTAACTGATGGTTTTACCCTCGCCGGGCATCGGGGCAGTGTCATTGTTATCCAGCTTGTTCTGCTTGGCCTCTCGAATGAGTTCGCAGGCCAGGTCGAGGAAAAGTTTCTCAACATTGTCAGACTCTTTGGCTGACGTCTCCAGATAGAGCATGCTCTGAGCCTCGGCGAAGTCTTCGGCCCTCTGCCTGAGAACCTCTCTCTTCTCTGCCAGATCTATTTTATTACCTATAAAACACACACAAACATTCATCCGTCAGTAAATGTAACAAGTAGGAGTCTTCTTGCATCACAATTTGTCTTTTCTGAGCAGTCAGACTGAACGGTGGTGGGTGTGTGTGTGCGTGTGTGTGTAATGTGACAGATGGAAGTGGAGGTGTATGTGTGTGCATGCTGTGTGGGATGGATTTGGAGGGTGAGCTGTATATTCTGGGCAAAAATGTTTGTCTTCTCAGCAATGGAAAAAAATAAAGTAATTCGAAGAAATTACACAACACAAAACTGTTTTAGTGTTTAACAAATCTATTTTAAAACTGTTGTGAACTAAAACCAGATAGGATAAGCTCTTATTAATCCCACAACGGGGCAATTTGTGGTGTTACTGCAGCGAAGGAGATAGCGCACATGTGCAGGGAACATCAGCAGAAAACAAAAACCTTTATCTATGCAAGTACTGTTGATATTGTACAGATTCATCCATATGTGGGAATTCAGATAATGCACAGATTCCTCTTGATGTGGAAAATACCAAATTGCACATATCTATATATAGAAAAACAACGGTATTGCACAGATTTTTACATATATTGCACCAATCCCCCCATGGGTACATAATATTTGTATTAACCAGACTCTCGTATGTGTAGAAAAATTGACAATTTGCTGTTTTTTGAAATGTACAAAACCGTCATACTGCACAGGTTTGAATGCATTGACGTCTGATGACAAAATAATCAGCAAAGTAATGTTTTCTTACCGACTAATATAGTCACCACTTGGTTGTTGGCATACTGCTCAATCTCCCTCAGCCACTCTGGAAGGCACCTGAAGGAGTCCTCACAGGTAATGTCATACGTAAGAATGAGGGCATTGGCACTACGGTAATAACTCTGAGTGATGGAGCGAAATCTCTCCTGTCCAGCTGTGTCCCATATCTGCAGCTGGAAAACACAAAAAATATGTAATATTAGCAACTGCAATACATGCTCACACTTTTATATTAAAAGTCACTTTAATCTTGTTGTACCTTGACCTTCTCCCCTTTGATTTCCACAGTTTTAATCATGAAATCTACTCCAATAGTAGCCCCTTGTCCAGGTGGGAAAAGGCCCTAAAATCAGAACATTTAAAATTAATACCACTTAATTCAAATACATATATTTACAAACTCGTAGACACGGATGAATACAAACCTGAGTAAAGCGCCGGACAAGACATGTCTTCCCAACTCCAGCATTTCCTATCAGAACTATTTTGAACAGGTAGTCATAATCTTCCATACTCATAATAAACTGTGAAAAATAAAGGAAGAAAACAAACAGGTGGTGAGCAAAGGCTTCAACACTGAATCACTTTGTCAGATCAAAGCATTCACATTTCTCTCCACATCATGAACTGGCACACGTGGACGGGACACTTCTAAAAGGAGACAGTAAAGATGCTGATGAAACCACAAACTGTTGTGAAACTAGCGCACGGGGCAGCATCCTCAGGACTCAGATCACAGCTGACATTTCACCTAAATGAGCTTCGCTGACACATACTAGAGAAGTTGTGAGCGACATATGCCCTAGTTTAGATCTTCGGTCTGTAATTTGAGTTCAGCTTATTTGCGCAAATGGACTGGTTGCACTAGAAGCTGTATGACAAAAAGAAATGTCCATTTAGTTAAAGCTAAAGTCTCATCCAACACCCACATCTCTGGCACTGACATGATGATCAAATACATGTTTTATGCATTTGTTTTTGTCCTTCATTCCACATCATTAAGGCTTTTTAAAAAAAAAAACAGGAGCTTCTGTTTCACTTCTCCATCGGATTTCCCATTTTTGCATCATGTAATATGTGCACAACGTGACTTTCCTAATATATTTTTTTTGGTCTTAGCTGCAGTTTTATAGGCCGTGCATCACTTTTGGGGGCTCATGGAGCCACGGGAGATTAATACACTGCAGAAATCACATATAGCTTGTAGAAAGCACACATATTAGGTTCGCTGTGTCTTTGCTCAGTGTCCACGCACAACTCCGCGGCACGACAAATGTATGTAAACACGCATAATAACATATCATTTTAGTACTGCAGCACCGTTCCATCTGTTCGCTACCAGCATGCTGAATCGGGCCTATACGTACTTAAAAACTAATCATATTTACTGTAAAAATGCGTTTTAGGGAAGCAAACTGTTGCTTACAACAACATGTGAATCACAGACTGACAGTCGTGATACAGAGGAGCATATTATGGGGCATCCATTTAACCACTCGCCTGTATAAAAAAAATGAACATTTTCCCCGTGTCGCATTTCCTTCCTCGCCGTTTTAAAAAAGCTTCCAAGCAGAGTAAATAAGCGGCATCCTGCACGTAGTTAATCTGAGTTAATTTTGCACTTGTTTCTCATATTGTTGCCTTTTCAGTCTGAGTTGATAGCCATTAGGGCGAAGCTAGCAACAGTAGCAACTAGCGGCTACCGTGTGATTCTAGCCATTTTGGCACTATCTGCAGATGCAGGAGGGGGAAGAAAAAAAAAACAAAATCAGCCCTGCGCATCGAGCCGTGAAATAGTTTGCACTTACCAAAAACACGGGGAGATCCCCCGGACTTATGACTACTTGGTGTACATAGGTCACCTCTTCAAATGGGCAAAGCCGCTGCTGGGCAGGGCATAATTCCTCCGGCTGTGTATCCTCAGCAGCTCAGCAGCAGCAGCAGCCTGACTGATAGAGCAGGAGGAGGAGGAGGAGGAGGAGGACTGCACTCAATGATGTCATCAACTCACATGCAAAGTAACTCAGTACATTTACTCACGTACTGCAATTCAATGCTGTTTTGCAGAGCTATAATTTCAGTATTTACTCCTGGGTAAAGCCTGCAGTTTTAATCCAATACATTCTGTAGACTTCCAAGTCCTTGATCATCCATATACATGTCGGATCTGTAGCCAAAAGTAACTCTGCAGGAAAATAATTAACTGTTCATCTTCTTGCTTGGTATAAACTTAGCCTTTATGTATAGCTACCGACTAATATAAAATAAATAAATAAATAAATAAATAAATAAAAAGTTGCAATGATAGCATAACACAAGACCATAAGTCCTAACCTTATGGTGGCAATAGCTTAGAAATCAAGTCACCGTTATTTGTTTTTTTTTTTAATGCACGTTTAAAACAGCAGTCCTTGGCTTTAAAAATTAACCGAGCTAATTTAAATACTGTGTTGAAGACCATACATAGGTAATTTTGGTGTGAATTTACCACAGTAATGTAACTATTAAGAATTAAAACACTCCAAAAAGAAAGAAAGAAATATAACTTTACCTGGCAATGATACATATTGATGCTAACAACCTTCACTATCGCTAATTTTGAGACATTAACTGAACTAATTTAAATATTAAGGCTAAGACCTCACGGTGTTATTAATTATGGAGACAAAGCTACACCATTTAAATCTTAACGTTAAGACCCTACATTATTATTTACTGTGGAGCTAATTGAAATATGAAGGTCAACGCCTTGCAGTGTTATAAATAATGGAGATTAGCCTGACTATTTTAGAACTGAAGTAATGACGCTTGAATAACATACATGAAAACAGTACAGAAAAAAAGTGCATTTCATGAAATGCGCACATATTACTGCACAATATTAGTTTACTGTGAGACGACTGATAACAAAGTCCCAACAGCCTAGTTAATGGTTACCCGTTGCTAGCTAGCAAGCTAGCTATAACTACTTACCAAAAGTAGAAAATGATAACGTAAGTTCTGGTTAAGTTTCTTACCGTTACCCTCGTTAAATTAAGTTTAAAAAAAAAAAAAAAAGTATTCGTGTGTGTAGAGAGTGTCGTTTATGAATTATTTATAACAAAATCGACGTAAAGCCAACACTTCCGTGGCTAAATGTAAAGTTTCGTCGTCCTGCCTTCGTTGCTAGGAAACAGAATAGGCGGAACTAAAGCTGTTCCCGTTTGTTTTGCCCGGGCCGTTCGCTCGGTTGCACGCCCTTGGCTTCCTACGAGAGGTGATAGACGATAAGCAGGAATAGGCTGCTGGGAGGTCACTCTTAATTCTAGATTGAAGCGTGATTTTTCTCGCCATGAAGTTCATTCCAGACGAGGCAAAGGGTCTCCCTCCTCCCGAAATCGTCAACAGGAATTCGGTGGGGCTGGGCGGAATGGGCTGGCTCACCGCGTTATTGCAGAACGCTTTGAAGCTGAGGCCGGCGTTGAAGTCAGGTTAGCATGTTAGCATGTTAGCTGTAGCTTGTCTGCGGAGGCACTCTTTCATTTCAAGCCTATTTTACTGTTAATTTTAAAAGCAGCAATGAAAACCCCACTGCAGACGCGGTGCATTTAAGAAGGAGTCGATGTGGTATACAACATAAAACAGGCAATGCATGAATGTTAGTGTGAGTGCTATTAGGTAAACAACCGTCACCGACATTTCTGTTTGTGTCATAGTACTAGTTATTACTTTAGTCCCCTTTAAAGCTGTTTATATCTGCATTTTAGCTGTCAATTCGACTTGATTTTAAGTATCATTAAAAAAAAATTCTGCCTGAAAAGCTCCAAGCCTGTCATGATGAAGTCTTGCATTTGTGCTTTCAAAGAACAGTTCATATTACAGTGTTGTCACGTTTTGTACTTCAAGTACAGTTGTGTCACTTGTCATATTTTTCTGTTTAGGTCTCCATCGGCAAGTCCTGTACGCGACAGTCGGTTGGCTCTTTGGCTACCATGTAACAAAAGTTGAAAACTACACTTACGCCAAACTTGATCGAGATATGAATGAGTATGTCAGACGTCACCCAGATGATTTTGTACCAAAGGGTAAGACAATGTTCACTGTTTTTGCTCTAAAAGAAGGCACACGAATCAATCTGCACAGCGTCCTCTATGTGTGATGTTGATGCACATTTGTGATAGTTGAATATATGTTTCAAAAGGGCTGGGGAGGTGACAGATTTGCGCTTAAGGAAATGGAAAGGAGGGAAAATTTGTGACATAATAGATAGCAGGCGGATTTTGTTATTCATATTAAAGCATTTGCTCAAAGACGGCAAAGTGCAGTGTTTGATTTATTGTCTGTATATCAAAAAAAAGAGAAACATGCAAGAAAATTTAACATTTTTGGGTCATGACGAGTCTTTTTGGTTACATTTTATTATGTTTTCTCATTCGGCACATACTAGCGCTGGTATTCTACTGCACACTGTAATGTTTGCTTTTTAATATTCTACCAACAGTAACAGCAGTTCCATGCTGATCACACATCAGAGTTTTGTGAGGGTTTATAATCCTGTGCCGTGCAGTTTGTTGTGCCATAATCTCTGTTGAGTTTGAGTAGAACATGAAATTAAACTTGAACTGAAGACATGGTGGCCAATGTACTGCATGTGTTTAATTAAACTCTGTTTCTTTTGTCTCGCCAGAAAAGAAGACCTTTGCAGAGATTGTCGAGCCGTTCCATCCCGTGCGCTAAGTGTCATTGGCTGCTCACGTGAAGGAGGGAGGAAGAGAAAACATTTGCAGACTTGTCACTGGTCTTGTGCAGCCCTTTTTTGCGATCTTCCTGTCGTATATTGTGTGAAATATAGCTATGTAAATAAAAATGTAAAAAAAAAAACCCTCAAATTCAGCGTTTTCTGAGTTAACCCATTTATGCCCAATTTTTTTTCAGAGTTGTAAGGCATATAATTTTATCAGTTAAGTCCCTCTGAATCTTGTTATGTATTTATTTTTTCCATTTTGTACTTTGATTTGAAGAAAATAGCATTTTTATGACTGGCAACAATTGTTGCCAGTAGTCACTTAGCTTGTCACTAGGTCAAATGTCACCTAATAGTAATATAGAAACAATAATAATAATATAGTAATAACAAAATGATAATATAGTCATAATAAATAATAAAAAGGTGGAAAGGGGGTGGTGGTATAAAACAAAGAACAATATGTAAAACTGTACATGGATACCAATGGATATTGTCATCCCAGGAAGGTAGCTAATAATCATGGTTCAAACCTTGGTTCCACCTGTATAAAATTCAAAACAACAAACAATTTGAACTGGTTTCTTTGTACATAAATAACCTTTGTATCAGATATACATCTCAGACCAAGTCTGTATGATATAAAAACAATCTCCAACAGGTTAAAACATAACAACCAGAGGTTTCACGCTGTCAATCGAAAAAACGTCAAACTAGCGTGGAAACAAATTGGTGGAAATAAAATCATATGTTGTTGCTGATTTTGGCAAATGAAACAGAGCAGAAATAATCATTTCTATGTCACAGAAATGCACTGCATATGAAACAGATAACCTACATATTCTGAAATACCCATATACTCATGAAAATTGCTTACATACATAGCATACCAGAGGGAAAAGGGAGATTTGTGGGGGGGGGTAGAGGTGGTGGTGGTGGTGGGAGTGTAGGTGTGGGCATTGGCTATGGTAAGTGCTTGTGTGTCAAGAAAAGTGCACCTCCAACTGCACATCAACATTTTTTACCTCAGTGAAACACAAGCTAATGTTAGCTGACAGAGAAAGATCACTTAGCAGTTAGCAAGAAAATTATGTATGGTAACATATCTAAATCCTATAGACACAGACCTTGATTACCTGTAAATTTATTTAGCTAGGAAGAGTATTCGAAGAGGACTAAAATGAACCATTGTACATCATTCTACCATTTGAAATAAGCAAATTATGAGCAATCCTGCAGACAGTGTTTTCCTTTAGTTAACGACAAGCTATGTGCCCACTGGCAACTTTTGTTGCCACTCACAGAAATAAGCCCATGAACAAAAAAATATTTATCTCAGGTACAATTTTTTGGGGGAGGGTTACTCTAGAGACTTGAATGATTAAATAATTATAAATATGTTTGGGGGGAAAATCATTAGAAATGTATGAAAATTACCTCTCTCCGGGAGGATTTGCATTCGCCATGCCTTCAGCCGGAAGGAGCAGGAAGCAGATGATGTCATGTGACAGGAAGCACTTGGAAACTATTTTTTATCAACCAAAACCTTTGTCTAAGGTGTCAATTAGCACATAAGTGGAAAAAGTTGCTTCAGTAGCTTTGGGATTTTTTATTGTGAGTTGAAAATGACATTGATACACTTTGGCAACAATTGTTGCCAGTGGAGCAAAATGGGTTAAGTTTTTCTGATTCATGTGAACAGTGGCAAGGCAGGTCTGTTTGTGTAGCACAATTCGTACCCGAGGCAGTTCAAAGTGCTTCACACAAAAGTATTAGAAGACAGATAAAATCAGTCCACAAAACGTAAACACAATTATTAATTAATTACATTAAAAGCAAAGAGGCAGATAAAAGCAATTTATAAAAACATAAATATAATCATTAATTAGAAGGGTACAGATAAAATACTTTCAGCTGTCATATGCACGACTAAACAGAACTGTTTTCAGCCTGGATTTGAACATGAGTTGAGGTCTGTCTCACATCTTCTGAAATCCAGTTCCAGATTTTAGCTGCTTAAAACTGGGCCTGTGTTTGGTCCTGACTCTGGGCACCAGCAGGAGACGCCTCCCTGAGGTTCTCCGAGCCCCACGTGGTTCATACGGCACGAACATGTCAGAGATGTACTTTGGTGCTGGACCATGGGGAGACTTGTACACAAGCAAAGCTGTTTTAAAGTCTATTCTCTGAGCAGCAGGAAGCCGGTGCAGAGACGTGAGCGCTGGGCTAATATGGTCGTACTTCCTGGTTCTAGTCAGGAGTCGAGCAGCAGCGTTCTGGATAAACTGCAGCCGTCCTACAGCTTGTTTAGAGAGGCCAGTGAGCAGGACGTCACAGTAGTCTAACCTGCTGGAGACAAACACATGGATTAGTCTCTCTAAGTCTGGCTCAGACACTATACCTTTGATTTTGTTTTTTAGATGATAAAAAGCTGCTGATGTGGCTGTTCAGGTTTGAGTCCATAATTACCCCTTGATTTCTAACCTGACTTGAGCTTTTTTTTCCTTTGTGAAATTGGATGTTATACATAAATCAAGCCTAGAACATTTCTCTGGTCATTTATAATCAACAACTAATTGCAATTTTCTAAATATATATACAGTATTTTGATTAACATGAAAAGAATAGACACAGTTGATCAGTTTTGGCAATGCACATTTATTCCATGTTCATGAAGTTGGAAGCATGACCTCACTGAATGTAAACAGTTCAGACATTTGACATATTTAGGTGACACACGCTACACTAATAAAAACAGCAGATATTTGGTTTGATGTCCACATATATTATGTTTTGCCGTTAGTTTGCCACTCCGATTATGTCCATGTATTTCTCTGTGAGGCTCTGAGTCTTCTTGGTGAGGTCCCCCATTACGGAAAACAGTCCTTTCAGGTGGAAGCGAAAGAGAACTTCGGGATCTGCGTCCAACAGAGGCTCCAAAGACTTGTTAAGTGCTGTGCTGTTCTTGGCCTTGTGGTCATCCAGGGGAACGTGGCCGCTCTCCACTGTGTTCCGGATGGCCTTGAGCATCAGGTAGTTGTCGTACAGGTCTGTGCAGGTCTCTTCTGCTGCTTCGCAATCCCAGAGCTCGTCAGAGGGCAGGTCTCGCAGCAGACTTGGCAGGAGAATGGTCTGCTCCATGTCACTGACGGCTAAGCTGTATCGTCTCAGAGCCAGGAGAAGGCTGTTTTTGTTGAATCTGGCTTCGGCGGGCTGCATGGTTCCAGGTGGATGTGGTCGGCTGTTCCTGTGCTGTTGTGGCAAACAGTTGGAGGCAGTGTGCAGTGCGAAGAAATGAGAGCGAGCGCTGGAGTTTATATGATGAGTCCAGGTGGGTTGATCAGCAGAGTTGCATAATAGCATCATCCGATACATTTTTGGAACACTTTGAGTGCTATTCAGAGTCAAACCTTATCTTTATTTGATTTACACAGCCACAGCCCACAATGTCTGACTACTGTGCCCCAAAGTAAACCCCTTTTAAATCATTAACCACGCAGACCATTATATCTGAATGACCTCAGTAAAAGAGAATTGCATGGTTTGTTATTGATTTTTATATGTCCCAAAATAAGCTGAGCAATGCTAAATTGCAATCCAAAGTAAAGAATCTTGGCTTAACAGTGTTCAAGTTTGGAAGTTATTGAACTCTCAGTTCAGCTGTTATCTGTTTGCACACAAAGATGCACAGAGACAACTTGTGTAATTAGTTTTAAAAAGCCAAATTCAGCTGATATGGTTGCTGGTTTTAAGGGAGGCCAGCACTGGATGCCAGAGGTCCAATTTGGTCTTGGTGCAAACATTTATTTGCGGGTCAGGCTCCTCTCCAAACTACATGACAGCTAGTTATAGGGTTATTTTGTGTGTGTGTTTTTTTGTACACAAATGGAAATAAAAGCTTTGCAGACAGTCTGTCCCTTGGCACACTTTCTTTAGACCATAATTTGGTAAAGTAAAAAAATGTATCAAGAGTTCTTATGCTTAAAAAATGGCATCCTTGAGCTCCTTCAGTTATGTGTCTATATTATGCAATCTTCAGTTATCCATTGACCCTCCAACAATGATGCTACATGCCATATCATGATTTTATGCTTTCTAACCTTCCTCATCCACAGTTTTCTTATGTTGCACTTAGTTTGCAACAGGAGTATGTTGTAAATTTTGTGCATAGTCACAGAAAAAGTTTTTAAAAAAGAAAGAAACGTCTAGTATGTACAATGTGGAACCTGCTGTGCTACTTCTAGACCTGCATCTTAATCAGGTGAAAAAAAAAGAAGAATCCGTTGCCAGTGTGAAGATCCTCAATCCTCACACTGGCATTATATTTGCTTACTATTCAGTTTTTAACTGGTAATGTAGTTTTCATGCAGATCTTACAAGGTTAACAACACAAAACAAAAAAAATATACAACCCCAGCGAGTGTGTGAGATGTTAACCATAAAGCATTAACATCCAACACTGTATCATCAGCTGACATATTAAGTGAACATGGAACATTGGAAAATATTTTGTGAGAAATTCACATTGCATTTTGGCAGCCTTCAACTGGACTAATTAGAGTTAAATTGCGAATTCAAAATATTCAATTCTAAATCAAAATCAATCATAGATTTAAAAAAAAAAAAAAAGAAAAGAAAAAAGAAATCCAACGCTGTTGAGACATTTTGAACCAAAGAGATCGTCTCTGCTTCTCTCTTTGTGCCTGACAGTTCTGCAAACGTAGAGATTTCCAGCTCAAAAAAAACTTTTCAAGTAATTTTTCCGCCTCACTTCGCACCATCTGCTTGAACCATGATGGGGACCAGAAAGCAGATCGGCGTCTCGTCACCGACACATCTCCCGTTAAAGTGTTTTAAACCTCGACCAAACTTCATAAAGCCAGGTGAGAAGTGTGAGAGCACAAGCAGAAGGAACAGAAGAGGGTAAATTCTCTGTTTCCCTCCGGTGACGTGCAGAGTTCAGGTCCTGCTCAGTCAGTCAGTTAATTCATTGCAGTCTGAGATGGGACTTGGCTCTTCATCAAGTGCATGCAGTCTTTTTCGCAACACTTCAATGCGATCTCAGCTCCCCACGCAATCCAGCTTGTTGATCAGCGATTCAGTTTGTGTCTTTTTTCCGTTGGCCCTTGACAATGATTTCCAGGACGTGAGTGAGATCCATCATCTTGGTCAGCATTTCCATAATGTCAGGATGCTCTCTGGCTCCGCTGATGAACTCTTCCAGCGTCAGCTCACCTGAGCAGATAGTAGAGGAGATGAAAAGGGCTTTTAACACATTTTAAATAAAATGGTATTTTAAATGCTTCATATTCATTTCACTCCATAAGCCCTCAGACACCTCATCGTAGCATCATTTTCTTCTGAGAAAGCTGCTGATATGTTCAGGGTTATATCATTTGATCATAATTTATTAGTTACCTTCTCCATTGACGTCAATTTTCTCATATATAAGGGTTACAATCTCCTCTGGAGGGATGTCGTAACTTCTGGTGATATCTTGAATAGCCTGAAAGAAGAGTTTAAAGGGGTTAGCCGAGGAGACACCTGCCGAGGATTAACAGTTTCGTGCAGTGCTGTGCCTCTTTTCATTCACAATCTGCATAAAAGAACTGATGAGTAACATGAAGAGCAAACAATATTTTCAAAAAACATCTGTATAGTAGTCCAGCTACGTCTTTTGTTAGCCAGAACTGAGCCTCTAATTGAAGTGTTTTACAGAAAGTAGGTCATGATTTAATTTTACTGGTGAAAACAGTTAATAACAGGGGAAACGGTGTCATATCAGCAGGACATGACTGGTTTATATGACACCTTTTCATGACTTATGACTTACTTAGTCGGGGAAATAGGTTATAGCGAAGGCCATATTTAGACTAAGGGTTTACATGAGAAGCCCCCGGATTAGGTGTCATTTCTAGTTCACGACCAGTTAAACACTTTTCCACCGCTTCAGAACTGGGCTTCACCATTCAGGGAACTGCTCAGAGGCTCAAGTGCTGAAGTGCAAATCTGAGACATTAAAAAAATAAATATACTGTACCTTAAATATAGTCTCCAACTCCTCCTTGTCAATTTTTCCGTTTCCGTCTTGATCAAAGAGTTTGAAGTACCATTTTAATTTCTGGTTTATTTCTCCTTTCAGCAATAAACTAATTGCTGCGATGTATTCGACAAAGTCTATATAGCCATCCTGCAGGAAAGACACAGAGAAAGGACAGTAAATCACCCTGAAAAAGATTTATTTTAAAGTGAAATCATCTATCATTCTGTGCAAAAGCTGCAGCAGGATTGTAGTTCTGAGGGAACTGTAGCAGATAGTAACAGGCACCGTGAACTGTGTATTAGTTTAAGACTGTTTGTCCTATACGGTGTGAAGGAGTAAACAACTCAGAGTAGAGTTCACCCTCACATGATCCCTCTTAAAAAGTCAGGGACCTCCATAATCTCTGGGCATTCCTTTCAAAATGTCACACCATTTGCAACAATAAAAAAGCCTTTAACCTTTAACTGCAAAGTCTGGTGCTGGAGCAGATTCTATTGATTGAACAAGGTGCTTGTGTTTCACCGAGCAACTGTCTGGAAAATTGTGTTTCTTTAAAACATAATCTGACACAAACCACATTTTCCTGAGCAGGGGAGAAGAAGGAATATCCTGCAGGCGTTCTCTTACCCCGTCCATGTCAAAGGTGAAGAAGACCTGGTCCACATAGCTGCTGGCCTCCTCCGTCATCCCGTTCATCTCAAGCATCGTCTTCAGCTCAAAGAGCGTGATGAGCCCTGAGGGGGATTCCCTCATGAATTTAGTGTACCAGTGGTGCATGTCCTCCTCCAGGATATCATCCAGGTTGGAGCTGTGGGCACCCATAATTCCTCCTTGAAAGACTATCTGATTTTTGTCCGGAGTCCTGTCGAGAGCTGGTGGTGAAACTGAGTCTGGGGAGGACTGGATATTATCCGCAGCTCTGAGGGCTGGCTGAAGCCCCATACAACGACCGCCTTAATCTTTAATTCTTAGGACGGCCAAAAAGAGAGATAACCCCTTAATGGGATAAGTGGAGAAGTCTTCCAAGAACCTCAGGCTATCGCATGCTCTACGAGTGAGGAGGGGCTGGATGCCAGGGTGACGGGATTCATGCGGAACAAAGGAAGTTCACGCAGGTTTGACCTCTTGGCTTTCAGCGAAATGCTTTAACTCCATGGTTCCATATCTGCCATGGAATTAGTGGACAAGGTCGCACCTCCAAACAAAAAAAAAACCAAAAAAAGAACACTTCATTTCCATTTATCTGCTTTTTTTGGTGCAATTTTTCTTTAGCAAGACATTGTCATTCATTTCATGTTTTTAGTGAGGAACATTATACTCATAATTAAATAAATAAATACAAAAAAATGACCTAACCATGCCCTCATAGCTGTGTCCTCAGTCACAAGGGTTATTGCAAATCCCTGGGATTCCTCAGCAAATTATCTTAGGGAATTCCTCTTGGAACTGACTTATCCTCTTTTCATAAACATGACCAGAATATTTCCGTGGTTTCACACATTAAGCCTCTCAGGAAATTTTACATAACGTCAATATTATTACACCTGATACAGTCATAGATTATACGTGCAAAATAAATGAAAACAGGAGAGATATGTACACATGTGCCCTTTTTTCGTCAAGACCTAACAATGTGGGCTTTTAAATTTCATGCAGCAAGTTGTGAGTATTAAAGGTCTGGTATTTGTCACATCTTTAGTTTGAAATCATTTTTCAAGGTACAGTTGATTAAAGTCAAACATAAAGGAGCAAAAATGGTATTTTGTTGGCTCAATGCATTTAATTTCTAAGCATGCTCGTCTTTCTCACGACAAACAAATGAGCCGACCTCACCACATTTCTGTTAAAGCAAAGACATCTAAACAATTGACTGATATAAGTATAAAATCATCACTCTAATGACACAAATTCAAACACTTTCTCAGTTTCAATTCCCATCACAAACACAAACAAGGAATTCCTGCAGCTCTTTGATGGTGCTTGTACAGCTCAAAGTACCTTCTAATGCAGCATTATATCACCGCCTACATGTGAGATCTGTGAGTTCAATCGAGTTCTTCACACAACAATTACAGTTTTCTGGGGTGATGCGTCTTCTTTGAACACCAGCGTAGACAACACTTCACACACACATCTCATTATGGATCGATACACGTTTAACCAGCATGTTGACCCATGACAGACCTAAGTGTGACCCATCTCAGAAGATCATGCAGAGTTCGACAGGGGCTTGACAGTAGTGGCTGCTATTTAAAAGAACAAGGCTATCAAATCTCAGAGAGATTATTGGAGTTAATCTGGCTTTAGACGATTAACAATTCTCAAAATAGGATTGAGAAGATGGACCACCGCTGACCCGACAACTCAGGCAGCTAACGTCTATTAGGTATTCACGTCCAGAATCAATGTTGCCGCACGGCGCCCGCATGATCCGTCACCGCTGCCAAACAGATTAAGAAAAGTGTTTACTTTAACAGAAAAGGGCTAGACATCTGCAGAAAACACCCCCTGTGACCCTAAATACAGCAAAGAGCAGCTTCAGTCAACTAAAGGTCTCCAGCCTGAATCAATAAACTGAGGCTGACCAGAGATGTACCTTTTTCAGTTCCAACATTTGCAATATTTGAGGATTTCAAAGAGCAGATGGCGTGATGTGGTTTTATGTACAGTAATATAAGCTGTCGAAATCTATTGGATCCCACTTATGCCCTGCCTCATTTCAACTTGACCTTTTGACCAGCAGGTGACAGTCATGCAGCAAGAACATCTGACTGCACATGAAAACTTATTTCCCCCTTTACAGAAATAGAATGCAGCCCAGGATAAAAAATATGCTTTTATTAGATAATCATATATGACATTCTGATATTCCCTTTTCAAGTACATTTAATTGTGTTTTTTCAAAATAGAATACATTAGAATAGAAATACTTTGTTGCTCCCCAAGAGGAAATTCTGTTGCAAGCAGAAAGAGTAAAGTGACCACCACCACAACACAAATAAATAAGCAAATAGTCAATACGCTCACAATATGAAGTCAACAATAAATCTTTAAGTCTTTCAGTGAAATAAAAATAACCGAACGCGGAAGGCAATGATTTTATGTGCACCGTTATCTTAAAGATAAGTCACTGCCATATAATTTCCACACTTGTTTACACCACACGCTTTCTGATCTTTGTGACAGTTGTAAAAAGGAGGGTTAACCTGTCCTAACAGCTAACCAGCTAACCAGTCAGCTTCATTCCACAAGCTGTCATCATGCTGAACTGCTGATCCAGATATGCAAACACTTCTTTATGTAAATTGCTTTAAGCTATTGGATCCTGAAGAAACACTCTCTCATCTTGCCTGTACTGCTGTTGATGTACAGCAACATGACAATAAACTTGATTTGATTTGATTAAAAAAAAAAAAAGTACATTCAGACAGATAATGCTCTTTGAGAAATAAATCTTGTAGACTGCAACCGGCTGAAGCGAGGCCTAATGAGCACCCTGCGGAAGAATGACTGTTCGTGACCAGACAATTTGGCTTACTCATTAATCAAAGCTGTAATCTCATTAGATGGCCGGCGTGTTGACATGACGGCTGCCAGAAAACGGAATGAAATCTGACGTAAGGACACGGCTCTGTTTGATAAACATGTGAATGGTGCACCATCATCTTCATCCACTGCAACTACCTGCTACTTTTTTTTTTTTTTTTTTTTTAAGCTAATCGGCAAAAAAACCACAGTGCAAATTCATGATTGTTCTCTGCAAATACAGGCACAGAAAGCAGGCAAAACGCAGAGAAAAACAAACTGTTACAGTTGCATGTGGGACGTGGACTCCCTCTGCTGGTCAACCACGCAAACGCAGCAGGTCAGCGAGGAAAATCACAGGACGATACTATATACGCCAAATAAAACTGCAGACAAATGTAAAAAACGTGTTGGTCATATACTACACAAAGCAGGAATCGTTTGTGTACAGAAAACATAGTTCATATGAGCCTTGGCAGCCTTCGTTTAATATATGAGACTGACCTTCCTGAACTAAAGCTGATTATCTTACAGTGTTTGTTGCTGTCTAGGCAAATGTGTCAGCGGCGTTCCAGTTCCGGTACACAAATCAAGTCTGGTGACGCAAAATAGTGGCACAGGTATGCAAACACTCACATTTTGCATGAAGAAAATACTTCACAGCAGTTTTTTTTTCTCCTCATGTACAAACAGCCGTACATGAAATCACAGTGACAGCGAGGGAATTAATATTTAAACAAATATTCTTCCAATTAAGCAATGCAAAGTTTATACACTATAAAATCTCAAACTGTGTGTCTTAAACCCCTTAAAAGCTCTAATTTTGTTGTCATTCTCTTGTGGATTAAGCCGCTCAGTTTGGCAGGAGGAAGGTGTCCTTTTAACCCGATAAGTCCTGCACACATAACACACAATGCGGTCATCCCCATGACAGATGCACATTAGTGTGTGTGTGTGTTGTGCAACTGCTGCTTCCTGTGGTAAAAGATGCATCATATGCATACTCGTGGGAAAACTGCACACAAGTCTGACAGGTCATATGCAGCATCGTCCGACTTACGGGAGGTTTAGGATTTGGTCAGCGTCTCACTTAAATTACTAAGAAAACAAGACACTGTGGTTTTCTGTGTCTCGTCATCAGTGTCCTGAGAACATTTTTAGGGAAACGGGATCGATGAACATCGGCCCCGACTCAGCTGACTCGACAGGCTCCTGGTCATACAGAAACTGTCGAAACACGTTGTACACCATCTCCCTGCTCAGAGTGAAGTTTCTCAGCTGATCCTGCTGCTCTTCAGGCAAGACGAACGTCAGCTTGTAGTCAGCGGTGACCGAACCGTTCCTGAGGGGAAGCAAAACAAGTTCAGCAAACGGAATCCAATGATTTTTATGTTGAGAAATACAGTTTATAAGTAAATATGGTGTACATTTACCTGAAAGCAAGTACTTCAGCTTTGGAGAAGTATCGCCCCAGAGCAGGGGAGGATCTGTAGAGGTCAGCCATCTGGGTGGGGCAGGTTAAAACATGCAGAAGCAATCATGAGACGGGAATGTTGTTGGCTGACACTAAACTACTTACAGTCTACAAAGGAAGTAGGCACAGCGTGGTGATATATCATTTAGATGTGAATTGTACCCTCTTACAGTAACTGCATTACTTTTAAGCTGAGTGGTAGATTTTTGCTCGTATGTGAAATTAAAAACTAATTTACGATAATAAAAATGCAGCACCCACAGTCGGAACTCAGTGCTACAGAAGTCAGTACACCTTTCATTCCAGAGATTAAAATCATAGTTTTTTTCCCCCCATACGTTGTATGCCAACCTTTATTCTTGACAAACTCTACTCTCTTTGGCATTGAGGACAATAATGCTGCATAAATTCCTGGACAGATGTTCTGCTGTTCTTCAGAGACTATTGTTTTCAGCTGCTTTGTATCATTCTCATGCTGGAATATTCCTCTGCAGCCTGGGAGTCATCTTGTTTTAGTATATCTAAAGGCATTCATGGTGCATCTTTAAATGTCATTTTCTCAGCACTTTTTACACTCATGCAGCTCCATATGATCACACTCCCACCTCCCAGGACTATGCATTCACTGGGGGAGCTCCGGATCACATTCACACCAAAGCATTTCACTGCACGTTCAAAGCATTTCACTGCACGTTATATCATGTATAACTGTGTTTGTGACCAATAAAGGCCTTGAATCCTTGAACATGCTGCACCTCATTTCAGCCGAACACATTCATCTACCAAAAATAGGCTTCCAGTATTCATCAGGAATCTTTAGCGAAGTTTAATTCTCATGAAGAAGAGCAAGCAACTTTTTTTTTTCCTTAGATTTTGTCCAGAAAAATTGACATTATGCAACGTCCTTGTCTCAGCTTTCACAGAAAGTTTGATTGTCATAGTTATTTCCTGTCAAGTGCTTGCTCTCCAGTTTTTGAGAACTAGATTGTACAAACTAAACACTGTCTGTGGACGGGAGGATTAGTGGTACTACGGCTCGTTCTATACCTCATGACCACTGCTGCAACTGTGGGTTTTTTTTGTTTTTGTTTTTGACAGTGCAGTAGAGAGAGAGACAGGAAAGTGGGGAGAAGAATGGGGGAAGGAAGGATTTGAACTCATGACCTCCACATCGGGGACTATAGCCCCTGTACATGGGACGCCAGCTCAACCAGGTGAGCCATAGCGCCGCCCCTGCGACTGTTTTTCGACTGATTTTTAGTTCGTCACTTGGAACCATATCTCAAATATGATTAGACACAACCCACAGGTCCAAAGTTGAGCAAAGTTCTGCTGTTCACAGGCTCAACTTGGGTTCAGTCATCACAAGTCGGTTCACTTTTGTTGCACCGAGTTTCTAATTGAACCCTGTATATACAAAAAAACGGTTCCAAAATACTTCTTTTGGGTTAAAACGAATACTCAATTTGTCAGCTCACAAACTATGCAGTTATTAAGAGGTGAAACAATTTAGAGTCATTTGACATTTAAGTGATATCGTACAAGGTTGTTCTGTTGTGTACTGTACTTTCCAGTTCTTTTAGAGCTCCATTCTTCTGCTAAAGGCTGCTAAGTTAAATCCTCTGTATGAGATAAAAATAGCTGCAGAGGACTGAGCTATTGTTTAGTGTAGACTGTGACTCAGTGTTGCCATTATAAACTTTCATTTTCACATTTACATGATGATGCATAGCTGCCACTGTCAGCTCAGGAAGGAGCTCTCTTGTTAAATCAAACTAGAGTGTAGAATTTGATTTTTGTAACACAGGGTTAAAATTAAGTCGAGTAAACGAAACTTAAATGTAAAAGTTTGGGAAATGATAGTCAAGAAATGTGTGACAAACATTTCTTCTGAGCAGGTTTCTCATGCGAACACACACTGATGTCGAAGCTATATTAGCCATGTATGCATCAGATAAGTTCCTTATTCATGATGTCAACATGGGTGTGACTGCTAGAAAACAACTCAAGACTTAACAATGTCTAACTGTTTATACTTTACATTTGTACCCATGAACTGAATTCTAAATACAACCAATTCCCATAAACATACAAGGTGCACCTGAAATATTCTAATAATATAATCAGCCAAACCTTTATTTGAAGTTCTGCAGCGAGTTCTTGGCTTTCACTGGAGTGAAGGTTTAAAAGCTCCTCTTTGAAGAGCTGATTTGGCAACTGGAAGCTCCCATTGAAATAGTGAGGAACTTTAAACAACGAAGAGTCAAACTGGTCGTCCTCGTCCTCGTGGACCGCTGCTCAAACAGAAACTTGGGTCAAAGCTTTGAAATGGAAAAACTACTATTGAAATACACAACAAAACACAGTCAACGGGTCAATTGTATGACGGCTCCCATTGCATTGTGACTTTCTCCGGCCTTTAGCTGCCCACGTCCTTGAAACATTTGAGCTTTCATGTATGCTAAGTTGTTGAAAGATATCTTATTCTTCTCGCGCTGTTCTTTGATTTGCACTTTAATGAATCTAGCGTGATGTGCCAACCCTTTATGACCCAAACCACTCATCATAAAAACGTACCTGAGCACACAGCCATGGAAACTACAATCACAAGAGCCATAAGGACAAAGATGAAAATGATAACCATCCACAGTCTGATTTGTTTGACTTTCTCGCAGACGGGCTGGTTCAGCTCCTTCTTTATCCTGCACACGGAGCCCTTCTAAAAGCATAACGAAAAGGATTTGTCAAGACGTGGCCACAATCTACGAAGCAGCAACTCTGACACCAACGTAGGTTTTTGTACCACGTTAATGAGACATAATTTAAGATAGACACAGAACTAAGAGCGAATAAAAACTCCATGCGAAGCTGCAGGGAGGGTATTTGTGGGTATTTTATGTGTTTAATTACAAAGCATCAAGAAACAAAAAGAAAAACTGTAATGGATGGGAAATGATTAAACAGAAAAGCTACGTTTCCTGTATTCGAAACACAAGAGGGAAGAACCAAGGAACAGCGAGCGTCATACCTCTTGAGGAGGGTTTGCATTTCCAGCAGTCGTTTGACCTTCTGCTGCGTGGTCAAAAGGTATCGCTTCCCCATTTCCACCGTTGATCTGACAAAACATAAAACCAAAAAAAAAGTGTCATTTTCCTCCTTTCACTGAAAATGGAATAAGTCATGATGGGTCAGGGGGGTGGGGATGCTTTCACTTTCACGGTTGCTCAACGTTCGAGACAAAAATGACTTCAGAGGCGAGAGCTCAGTTTTTATCTTTTACACGGAAAAGCCAGAATAGCTATTTTTATTCTACAATAGAGACGACAACAGAACAAAACCAGGTACCTGAAAAACAAACCTTGATGAAAGCTCACCTGAATGACAAAAGCATCTGTCTCTGTTGCTTCAGGATTCCCATTGGCCACACCTTCGCCATTGCCTGATGTCACCTAGGAGTTGGCAAATATTTAGAAAGATTAAACACTGAACACCACCATAAAGGCTTTTTTTTCCTCTTCAAAATGACAATAATATATGTTGCACAGAGCCGGGACCGAAGAAATGTTCTATTTTTTAATTAATACGCACTTAGATAAAATTAGATCACAAATAGCACCATATATAAACTTGTTATGTTAATCAGGGACACCAATTATATTTTTTGTACTGGAGAGCACTTATATGCACATATACTATATATAGGACATGCAGTTGGTAGCTTTTGCTAATTAACATCATAAAAGTTTGCCTCTGTGTTTAATAAGATATTACAAAGCGTCAATACTAAAGCATCCACTGCAGAGAGAATGATGGAAAATAAAAATAAAAAACATAAAAGTTACGCTTCCTTTATTCCAAAAATAGAGGTGCATACCAAGGAACTGTCATACCTCGGTTGTGTTTCCCACATCCCTTTGACCTTGAGCTGCAACAGGCATCGCTTCCCCATTGCCACCGTTGATCTGGCATGAAACACAAAACCAAAGCATGTCATCTTCCTCCCTTTACTGTAAACCGAATAAGTCAACTCAGGTCAGGGTGTGGGTTCATTCACGTTGCTAAATGTTGATGGTGTCAGTTACATAGAGCTGCAACTGAAGATTGTTTCTATCCTCGATGAATATCTTGATCACGTTCTCTTTTAATCAACTCATTGTTTTGTCCACAAAACATCAGAAACAGGAAAATATGTCGCAATTTCACAAAGAGGGAAACTGTTTGAGTTCAACCCAAAACCAAAAAGGTGTAAAGGTGGCTATGACATTAGTAAGAAAAGAAAAGAAACATTCAGTAAGGTGAATATGGTGAATTCCTGGCACTTTGGCTTGAATTCTTGTTCAAACATTTGGTGGCAGCTGCAGACTTTCTCACGGGGTGCAGCTCAGTGCGTCCTGGACCCGTCCATTTTTGCTGGAAGCCAATTAATTTAGTCTTTATTTGTGTTTGTCTTCTGTGGTTGGATATCAAAACTGTCCTTTGACGTTCTTACGACTGCGCTTTAAATAATATCTGACACGTCACACGGCCTTTCCCCTCCTCTACTACTAGATGACAGCTACTGGCCTGATGGCTCAATGCATTGCTTGTGTTGCCATTAGAGAAAAGGCTGCTCACAGAGATGAGTGACTTCAACCAGAAAGTAATACAGAAGTTTACTGAGCAGAAAGAGAGAAGAGCCATTGTTCAAATGGCAGGGCTCCATTTGCAACCTTTTTTTTTTATTGAGTGTGTGAATTGATGAGCATGATGATCATGAAGCTGTATTAGTGTCACTGTAACCTGCACAGGAAGCTGCTGTTAACCACAGACAACTGCAATATTTATGCTTAACAATGAGGTCAGAGTGTACCTGCATTCGCTGTTTTTCCACTCATAGAAAAGACTGCATGTAGAATACATGTAACTGGGTTTAACCTCTGGCAAATCTGACTTGAGAACATCCTAGTTTATTACTTTGAAAGTCATTTTTGGTAGCACATCTGTGTGGTCACACCACAGCCACTAATAGCATCTACCACAGCCCGCAATGTGGGACGTTCAGGAAGCATCAATAAATTATAGAGCCGGTCAATAAGAAAATGTTCAGAGAGTCATATGTTTTGCCTTTGGCCAGGTGGGAGATGCAGAAAAATGAGGAAATTGGTCGCACCGGTGCTACCAGTGAAGAAGTTGATCTGGAGCCCTGAATAGTGTTTTTGTTTGATTATTTATGTCGTGTGTTTTGAGTTTGTACAGATCCTGTAAATATTGATGAGAGTTTGATGAATGGTTTTGAAATGTAGTTCTGTCCTCATAATGTTAAATTAGATTATGATGAGAATATCCTCCAAAGGTAAAACATTTGCATTCCTGTAAATAGTTGTGTCTGATGTTACTCATATTCTAATTTAAAATAAAAGGTCATTTGCAGATTGACCAAAGATTTTCACCAGCCACCACTGTTATCAATCTACCTACTGATTTATCCTTTTTTCCATCAGTCGATTCATTAATTAACTCATGGAAGTATTCGAGAATACGACTATAAAATGCAAAATGAGGATGATGTGTGTTACATCGAACTTTGGCTAAAGATTATATGATGTATTATCTTCTAACCAAGTTATAGTTTGGTCAATAAAAGAGAAACTGGTGGATTTGCCACAAGTTTACAAAGCTAGAGGTCATTTTTTTGATAATTCAGTCCAAACTCAAACATGTAAAGCAGGGGTGTCCAATCCTGGTCCTCCAGGGCCACAATCCTGCATGTTTTAGATGTTTCCCTCTTCCAACACACCTGATTCAAATGATCAGCTCATCATCAAGCTCTGCAGAAGCCTGATAACGATCCTGATCATTTGAATCAGGTGTGTTGGAAGAGGGAAACATCTAAAACATGCAGGACTGTGGCCCTCAAGGACCAGGATTGGACACCCCTGATGTAAAGTTTACTGTCACTTAATTAAGAAAAATTAAGTTAATAAAAATGTAACGTTAACTAATGGCTTTACCTCTGCTGTTATCTAGTAAAGGAAGTAATTGAAGTATATGCAGTAGGTTGGTAAATATTTGGGAATATTGCTAAAATATAGTGAACACCACCATGAAGGCATTTGAAGTTCACAAAGACAGATGTTCCCTCTTTGGTAATACATCCAAACATCTGGAGTTTACAGTAAGATGAGTAAGAAGAACATCTTCACATTAAAAATGCTGTGAAAAGTGATTTTTTTGGTCACTTTTTCTTGAACCTTCAGTCAAACATTGATCATGAAAACATCAGTTTCATTCTCTATTAGTCAGCTAATTCATTAATTAACTGATGGCATCACCTCTAATGTTACCTAAAAAAAAAAGTAATATATGCAGCAGGTTGCTATACTAATTGGGAATATTACTATAAAATATTGAACATCACAATAAAGGCAATTTTGGGCAAAATAATGACAATGTGTGTTACTTTAATCATCATTTTCTATTTCAATTATCTAAATATCCGTTTCATTCATTGATTAACAAATGACTGCCGCCCTAATGTTACCTAGGAAACAAGTAAACGTAGCACAAGCAGTAGTGAGTCAATGCTAATAATTAATATCTAGTGAGTTTAATTAGTTAATACCATAATTAACCTTCTATAATTAGACACATCATTAAACATTATTTTAGTCACCTTTCCCACTCACTCACCCGTCCATTAGCATCGTGTGCAGCTCCATCGTCAATTACTTGTAGCTGAATGTCCATGCTGGTGTCAAAAAACGAAGCCCCAAACGCGGAAGTGGCTGTTCTAACTTCTAATATTCAGAAATCCCGCAGCGTCCGCGGGGCCGTAAACGTCTCAGCTGCGGTTTAAGATAAAGTCAACAATTCCTGAAAAGAAAACAAACATTTAACTTTGAGAGTTCACATCGTCGGTACTGACTAGTTTCCTTCTCCTCTGCTCGTCTCTCTGCTTCGACCTCTCTTTTGAGTTTTCCAAGCGGCAGGTGAGTTTGTCTTCAAGTTTCGTGGGAGTTGACGAAGGCGGAGTGAAGAAGGAGAAACCGTGGGAGGAAACTCCTCCACAGAGTGAAGCGAGCGTGACACAACTCTGGTGTTTTACGGGATTCACATTGTTATGCGGCTTCACAGGCTAATTGCGACACTAATTTAGTAGAAATTTGAGATTAAAAACGTACATTTCTTCGCTCTGTACATGCCTCTGAAGTCGGCTTCAGCCCACGTGACCAGGTTGTTTATTCTCAGGTGTCCTTGAGGATTTTTATGATAAATAAACATTTGCGTAGCTAAAAGGAAGATGGTTCAACATGGCTGCTGTTTGCTCGCTGCTCAGTTTGATTTATTTATAGCGGAAAGTTCCTGCTCCAGTGTTATAAACTCATTACTTAAATTAGTTTTATGTACATTCTTTTTTTTATTATTATTTTCTTTTCTTTTTTTAAAACAGCCATAAATTAAATTTAAATTGAACAGGTACCTTTTGACCCAGCTATTGACACAGCAAACTATGAATTAAATGTCACCAGGACCTGTGTGCCTAAAGAAAAGGTCATTTTTGACACATTCAACTAAAGCTGCATTTCAGGATTAAAGTACTGATTACAGGGATTTTAATTATTATTATTATAGGGGACACATTTTGGGGGATCAAGCACATAATTTTCTGCATTTTGGTGAATTTTTAAGCCACTACATTATTGAAGAAATGTAGTTCCCAGTCATTAATTTTTAAATATTCTCCTGTAGATAAACTTTTCTAATTTAATAATATCACGGCTGAGTCGACACACATACAGGCGTGATCTCTGTTCCCTTTTGTGTCCTTTGTTTGAGGCTTTAAATGTGCAAATGGAACCTTCTCACATCATGATAAATCCATTTTAATTCATTTATAATTATAAGGAGGATGTATACCTGAACCTTGTCTGTGGCTGCAACTCACTTGTTACCAGTAGAGGCCACCAAAATCCACAGATGAACGCTAATAATGCCAACACATTAAAAAGTATCAGAGATATCAAAGTAAATCCATCCATCCATTATCTATACACCGCTTAATCCTCACTAGGGTCATGGGGGGCTGGAGCCTATCCCAGCCGACTTAGGGTGAAGGCAGGGGACACCCTGGACAGGTCACCAGTCTATCACAGGGCCACACTTAGAGACAGACAACCAAGCACACTCACATTCACACCTACAGACAATTTAGAATCACCAGTTAACCTCAACATGTTTTTGGCAGGAAGCCAGAGAACCCGGAGAGAACTCCATGCAGAAAGATCCCAGGTGTCCTCACCTTATTGCTGCGAGGCAACGATGCTAACCACCAATCCACCTTGCAGCCCTCAATTAAACCCTTCAATATATTTAATGTCTTATAGAATATCTCGTGGCTTTTGCTCAAACAGATGTTTCATTAATTTTGATCAGAGTTTGCTCAGGTTGAAAATGTGTATACAGTGGAAAATTACCTGATCCATGTATTAATAAGAATGATAACAGTGCAATCTGTCCTGTCATAATGTGAACAAAGCTGTTAATCAAGCGCAGTTTGCACACATGGACAGCCTGGATAATACAGGAAATTAAAAGAAATCACATGGAGCTTTAAAATCTGTTAATCCACAAGATCTAACTATAAAATGTAATTTTTTTGGCTTAGCACTGTCTTTAACAAATACATCAACCAAAATGAACTGAATAACAACATGTAGCAGAAGGTTTTCTTCACATAAGGAAGCTGTTTATTTTCTTATAATTTCTGTGCATAATTTCCGAGGACCTGAGCCACTCCACAGTAGCACTGTGATTTTGATATATATATATATTTTTTGTAGTATACAAAATAACAGACAAGCTGAGACCAACATACATCCAAAGAAAAAAAAACTAAGCAAAGAATATAATTTCAACTTAAAGTGATTTGGTATGATGTCAAAACATTTATATATCTGCTAACATATATATATGAAATCTACTTGTATTTCTGTCTTTTGTCAAACCAGCATTTCAAAGTTCTGTGAGACTCCTGATGTGGAAGTGCACTCTTAACAAAGTCTTTTGATTTCTCAGCAAAGATTTTTTTATATATATAAAAACAGGAGTCTTGCAGACTTGGTACAACATGAAGGAATTTTCCTGTGATTGTGGATACAGTATAAACTGCAAAACTTTTCTCCATGTGTAGAAAAACAGCTGCTTCTGGTGACTCTCCAGTGTTTATAGACCTGTTCTATAGACAGCCAGGAGAGGGCGACAGAGGAACTTAGAAGAGAAGGTACCAAGAACATTTAAAACAGGTGAACTCTTAATGAGGAGTATTTTTTTCTTTTTCAGAGTTCTCTTAATCAAAGCACTGAATAACTTATTCATATATTTGTCTTTTTCTCTCTAGACATTCACAGTTCACTCCTTGTCGTTTCCTCCTTGCGGCGCCTCCTGAAGCATCTCCTCTTCTGTCTTAACGTCTCCATCTATCTGCTCTGCAGGCGGCTCTCCCTCCTCCTCCGAAGCCTCCACGTTCTGCTCTCGTTCCTCCTCCTGCTGCTCCGGATCACTCTTTTCTACCTCTGTCTTTTCGCAGTCCTCCTCCTTGTTTTCGGCCCCTTTCAGGCCGCCCAGCTGCCCGGCCTCCTCCTCCGTTGGGCTGTCGAAGACCTGCTCCTCGTCCCCATTTTCTTTGGGGCTGTACAGTTCACTCGGGGGCAGGCCGCTGCCGAAGGCTCCCGCCTCCTCCCCCGCTGACCTCCTGTGCTGTCTCGTGGGCAGACGCCTCTTGAATGATAATCGTGCACGAGTCTGTGTGGAAAAGATGATTAAGAGGCAGCAGGGAATTTAGAGGAAAAAAACAACACTATTTTAGAAATCCTAGACATCTTAGATCTATAAGACAGCACAAGTTTTCTGTATTTTTTTCTCTTTTTTTTTTTAAAGGTAGAATTTACATCAGTTAGTTTGTGTAATGAAATGATTTCTGCAAAGTGTCCAAGTCCAGTCGGCATATGCGTGAGAGCACCAAACAAATGGTATCCAGGGACTCTAACTAGGCTAAGGGGATTACATCTTCAATCCCTCTCGCAGCAGCACACATGTACTACAGGGGCATCTTGCTGCAGCTTATCCGAGGCCTTCTTAAACAGAAGATGCAGAACACCCACTGTGAAGCACGTCAGCGGGGACGAGGGGCACGTGCCCGGCTGTGACGACACGGCTCACTCGGCGAATCACGTGAGAAGCACTTCAGGGGGGCTTCAATGTGACAGCGGCTCGTGTTTGTCATTTAGTGACTCAGAACTCCAAACATATGAAACACAAGGCTGCTAATGTAATCAAAAAAATGATCACAAGTGCATGATCTAGGATGCATGTTGCCCTCCTGAAAGTCACGCCACCATAACACCTGTCCAGCTGTGTTATAAGGAGGTGCTGTACTAAGCAGCCCAGATCTGTTTTGTCTGCGATGCTGTCGAGCTGATGTACAGTTTTGCTTTTACCTTGTTGATGCTCGGCAGCGGGGTGCCTTCAGGAGGGCTGTCGAAGCTGATGCGGTCCTCCTCTTCGCTGGACAGATGTGGAGGTCGCAGGGTGGGGCTCTGGGGGCTCAGCGGGCTGCAGGGCGTGGTGGGCGACAGCGGAGCCGGCGGCAGCTTCACCTCGGGGCTTTTGGGCGATGGCAGCAGAGCAGTGGGCGACAGAGCGAGGTTGGCCTGCAGGTGCAGAGGGAAGATCCTGAAGCCTGGGTACTGAACTCTCTAGGACATTTTGTTCTGATAACACTTAAACCCTTTTTTTTCTCTTTTCTAACAAATACACCTAAAATAACTAAAATTGACATTGAATCCTGTGCTCACAAAAGCTGGTTTCTCTTTTAGGACACTTTACAAGTAGATAAAAATTAAATTAAATAAATTAGATTAAATCCAAATTAAACAACAGCATTCCTTATAGCATAGGTATGCACTTTTACATGCTAATAAAAGTACTTCACAGGTAAACACACAGAACACTGATCCGCTGGCACGTGCCATCTTGGTGCCACAAACATGTCCTCAAATTCTCTTTTAAGTGTCGCAAACAACACCTGAAATGCCCCAACAACTGTAACACAACACCTAAAGTCCAGCTGTAGCCCCTGAAGCGCCGCTAACAGTGTCCTACCTGCACTGGGGAGAAGAGGAAGAGGGAGAAGCGGCAGCCCTTTTGTCCCATAGCTGCCCACCGTGTGAAATGCTAACTAAAGGAAGTACAGTGGCAAGTTAGAGCCTCTCCAGAACCACCGTGGCCCGTGATCCAATTAGCTCATTAATGTGAGCCGATTGTGGCATCAGGCACAGAGTCCTTCCCCCTTTTTTCTCTCCATGTAAACACCTCTGGCACCAGTGGAGACTGAACAGTGGGTGGCAGTAATGCTTTAAATATCTCAATAGCTCACACTGGTGATGGTACCAGCTGTTCTGTTTTCTTAGTCTCTCACAAAACATTCAAACTACGAGATGCACCAACCTGAAGTTTCTCGATGATGGCGGAGTTCTTCATCTTGATTTTGAAGGGCTTTGGGGAGACGATAGATTTCTGCCAGAGAACATAATCAGAGGACAGTTACAACTCCCTTCTGAAACCACAAAAGCTTATTTTTGCATAAATTAGTCACTTCATGAAGTTAATTCTCACTATACAGTATTCAGGGACATACAAGTGCATGTTCTGGAAAGTATTAACACATAATCAGAGACATCAGGCAGCGTTCCATAGAGAATACAGCTGAAAAAAATGATGTGTTTATTGCTTTCATGCTCATGATGTATGCATCTTTGCATTTCCTTTGTGGTTCGTGCTTTGCTTTGGCCGCAATGCAAACTTTGGTTTGTGTGGTTTGTTTGGCTCTCAGTTTGCTGGCAGAAAAACAACAGCACTTTCCCAACATTTCAGGAAGAAGAAAAAAAAGAAAAAAAAAACATGATAAAATTGCAAATTTGGCAACAGAACACAGTCCGCTGTGTTGAAACTGTGAGGTTGCAATAAAAAAATGTACAGTAAACAAGTCCAAGTCTGTGTTCGGGGGACTTCCTGATAATCTCAAGACGCCAAATGTAGCACATGGGTCAGTAAAAGAACTAAATTACTCACATCTGACTCTTCATTATCATCCGTTTGATTCTGCAACTTCAGGGAACATGGAGGTCTTCTTCGAAATGGCAGCTTCACATGAAAAAGGAGGGAGTGTCAGTGAAAACATGTCATCGCATGCAGCTTGTGTGAATAAACCAGCCACTCACTTTAGGTATAAAAGTCGAATTTTGAGTCCTGTAATACCACACAGCCACTTGTAGGTTTTATAAAACGAGCTTTACCTCGTCATTTGAGTTGGGCATTGGTAGGATATGACCTTTGAACCGTCCAGCCAGCTCAGCCACAGACGGCTTGGATGGAGAATCCTTCAGGAAAGAACAAACATTCAGTAAAACACCTAAAAGATGCGTGAATCTCGATACATGGAGATTAGAAATTGAACGTAGATGTAAACAGTAATGCACCGAGTGACACCAGAGGTTTAATTTGAAGGACCACAGTTACAATCGCCATCAAAGATTAGTGATTATTCCACAATTATCACACAAAACAATCAATAAATAGCAACAACTGCACATGTATCCTCCTAATATGAGAATTCAACATCCTGGATTTCCTCCTAGATGTTGACTGAACGCGGAATGTGACATCAAACGCTCGAAAACAAAAATTGCACCACAACTTGGTCACAGCAAACTAATTGTGTAAACAATGCACAACTTTGAAAGCTTTAATGAACGCTAACATATGTCATGCCTTTGCCTCGCTGCTAGACGAACCACAAAAGCTGAATGTCGTCCCTCCGGGGAGCGACTTGCTCAACAAAAGAGAGCCGAAACAACAGTGCGTTTTTAATAAGCAGAGCATGTGCACAGAGCGGCGGAACAGAACCGACGTTCTGAAGTGAGGAAAAATGTTTCACTTCCTACTTCTGAACAACAAAAATGCAGACGGGTTGAGAAACACAGCAGGGGAGGTGGAAATGAAAAAGTACAAAAAACTAGCCAGACTCCACCAGCGGTTCTGCTCTGTCTGTCGGAGGAACTCATCTCCTCTGCTGAAGAGCACCGGATGTGAGCTTCTCCCTCCACAGCTGTTCAGCATCACGCTGCAGCCTGTGACAGGACGGACCTGTCCTTGCAGCCTCACACTGTTATCACTTCTTAGCCCTTCCACTCTCTCTCCCACTATTCCCCAGCCGATTGCTAAACCTCCCTCCCCCACGCTCGCCTTTGATGACCACTCCACATATCTGCGGACGGAGTGATAAGTTTGCTCGTGGCGTCAGACTGGAATGTCCATGAATGTAAAAGCCTTGAAACAACTCTGTTCCTCCAGGTTCTCGGTTCACTTTGGTGCCAAGTGTTCAAACTGTGAATGGCTCAAGGCATGAGCTGACACATGTCTCAGCCTGATCAGCGCCAGGATTGTGCAGATTGTCACGCATCACGCTTGCCGTTTGACGATGATGTGCATCGTAGTCACCGCTCGTGGGGGCCCCTCCTGTTCTCTCCTTGGCTTTCATTTCCATCCTACTTTTATTGACCACTAAAAAGCTCCTCGCAGCTGCCAATTCTGTCACATTTCCTGGGTGTGCTCCTCTCAGTTCTCCCCCCCACCCCCCAACTCTCTGTGCATTCTGAACCGCGGCCCACGAAAACACAGATCTCCCCGGGCTTCACAGATACACGCATTCCACGTTTTAATCACACGCTTTATTTTCCTTTTTCCCCTTGTTCTCAACATGACCTCACCACCTTGCTCCCTCCACCCAAAATGTGCAACAACACCAGCGAGCCCTGCAGTGCCTCCGCTAATGCGTCTCTGCTTTGCCTCAGTGTCCTAATCCACGTCCCAGCCCTTTTCCTGAGCTCTCTCTTCTCATACGTGATAAATAGTAATTACCAGGGACCACCCACCCGCCACTCCATTATTTTGTAACCTCTAATTGTTTAACGCTTTCCTGTCCTTGGAAAACAAACGCCTCCTCTCGAGCGCAAAGCGAAATCACAATAGCGCGAGCAAAGGAAGCGGCGCTCCCTTTGTTTTCCATCTGCTCAGATGTTTTGGGTCAAAAATCAAGGTTTTCATTTTTCTGTTGCCTGTGTTTATTTTAATAACAATGTCTAGAACAGTAGACTCCTCAAACCTACAATAAATCCCTTGTTTGTTCTTTTCTTCTGCTTCAGTAACTTTCAGAGTGATTATGGAGTGAAATCCTCTCATTTCGATGCTCAAGGTGACCTCTGCACCAACGTGGGGAAGGATTGCGCTCCCGTACAGCGACGATTACACTCTCCATATTTAGATAATTTATCATACAAGTGACTTTAAATAAAGTGTGGCAGCTATATGAACGTTACAAAAAGGGTTTCAGCAGCGTTAACTCTTCAACAACTGAACAGTTTCGCAAGAAGTCATTTGAGAGCCATTAATGTTCATCCATGCGTCATTTAACAGCGAGCCCTTATCTTAAATGAGCTTCTTCATGCAGGATGGAAATAATGTGGGACTCCTCACTGTACAGTAAATTACAGCTGCAGATTCATGCATGTTTAATGTAAAAATGTCTAATGAACGAGTAGGGACGCACGATATTGAGGCGGAAAAAACATGAACATTGCAAAATTTCGTTTTTCTGCATTTGGTATTGCGACATGAATTTTTGTTTGAGAGGACTGCATCTGCCTCATAAAAACAACAAAAATAAACTTTCTCATATGGTGCAACACTGGCAAAGGCATCCAAACTTGGTTTTTAGTTTGGATGACAGTCAACCATCGCCTTGCATTTCTCATATCGCGCTGATGTAGTAGCAACAAGACCACGCCCACTTTTGGTCACCATCGTCCTGCCAAGATTTCATGTCAACAAACTGTGTCTTTAGAATAACTGTATTCTAAAGAAGAGACTTGTTTTCTAGATTAGTCGTGGAAAATGAGAATCAGTTTTCTTTTTGCATGAAGCAGCAAAAAAATCTTGAAGTGTGTTTGAGTTAATCTGGCTTACTTCACATTGCACCGCCTTAAATGTGAGTATTGCACCTGCAAATATCCTAAATGATACTGACAAATTACATATTGTGCCGCTCTAATTACGAGATCAAACTACCGTAAATTCCGGACTATAAGCCGCTACTTTTTCCCACACGCTTTGAACACTGCAGCTTAAACAACGATGCGGCTAATTTATGGATTTTCACGAATTTGCCTCGAGACGAAAGCGACATTGAGAGCGACAACGAAAGAGAGACTGAGGAAGCATGTGACGAAGTGATTTTGTTCAATTCCGACACTGAAGAAGACGACTTTAGTGGTTTTAGTGCAGGAGGAAGATGAAGATAGCGACTTTTCATGGTTGGCGACTGTATTTTTTGTTTTTTTAACAAGCCGTGTTACAGGCATTGTTCGGAAAAAAGGCACTTACGCATTTCTGTATGTTACCGGTATGTATTAAAAGTTTAAAAAATCTTTCTGTGTAACAACTTTCTTTGTCAATATCTCATGTTACAACGTGGACACCTGCGGCTTATAGGCAAGGGCGACCTATGTATGTACAAAACTTGTTAGTGGGTGCGGCTTATATTCAGGTGCACTCAATAGTCCGGAATTTACGGTACTACTACTGTCATTCCAAATCCTCATAAATGATAAACTGCTGACAGGTGAGATGAATAACATGGAACTTCCAGGTTCTGGCCTTCATATGGATGTTACTTTGATGAATAACAGCCACCTAAACATTCAACCCACCCCGTTGCCATAGCGCTCTCCAATGGCAGCCACCTCGTCCAGCAAGACAAAGCATCCACCACACAAAGGAAAGGCCCGAAGAACATGACCAAAAGCCCGACCGGACCTCCATTGCCCCAGATGTTGATACAATCAAGCATCCGTGGGACGCACCGGAACAGTCCCGATCCGCAGAGGCCTCATCCCACAACCCGCAGCACCCAAAGGATCCAGACACCACAGGACACTCCCACGGGTCCCATGTCTGTCCCCTGACAGTCCAGAGCTATTCTGGGATCCACACAAAATTAGGCGAGAGGCTTTAAGGTCGTGGCTATTAAAAAAAATGCGGTGTGACCAAGTTTTTTATATGCTATGATTTTCACAGTAACATTTTACAGAGACATTGTCAGGGACCGTATGCAAAACATATAAAGTCCACTAATCTTAGCTTTCAGTTTCATGGTTTGGCTGTTGGTTCGTTTCTTTAAATTAAAAATAAAATCTCCCAGTTTGCGAACTCAAGTGGTCGCTGAGCTGACAAAAGGGAGCAGTACTTCATTGAGCCATACAAGGCCCACGGTTGGCTGTCAGCACCGGGCATGTTCGACTCAGCCGGGACCCCAAGCTCTGTGGAAGAGTGGGAAACTATGTTTCACTGCAGGAGAGAGCAGGGCAAACTATTTCTGGGGCTCTAGGCCTGGGAAAAAGCCCCGGCGCTGTGTAGGCAGCCGGGATCACAGCTCTGCTCTGTAACCCCTCAGCTCCTAAGAGAGAGCGTCCCTGGATGTGCTGCACCACATCTGAAACATGCTGTAATCTAGCATACAGGGCAATTGAGCATGTCTAAACAAGGAAACGACAAAAAAAAGCTTCCTAAAGCAGAGCCTTAAGCATGTGATTGAAGTTTTCCAAAAAAGTAGGACTGGGTTGAAGCTGAAAAACAAAAACAAAAAAAACTCTGACTTCCCTGGAAAAAGCTAATTTAGACTTGTTACACAGACTGTACAGACCTAATCCACTGGCAGCAAAGATGGTTTTGAGAAAAAAATAAGGATCTCCCGTCTGCTTTTTAAACTGACGTCTGTTTTTTTTTGTTTTCTTTTTTAGAAAAGTCAGTTCATGCTTGTAGCAAAACTGCCACTCATGGGATCAGTGGACGCCTGAAGGACGCGGAAGTGTCACAAATGACAGAAATTGTTAGTTTGATTCCCCAGACGAGGTAGGAAAATATTGTGGGTTTAAATTCAAAGACAGTGTTTCATCTGCAGTGCAGCACACTGCCTGGATGCCTATTTGACATAGTTTTCCCCCAGAAACTCATGGAGTCTCTCTAGATATCATGCACCACTTGCAGCACCTTACTTCTTGTGTACATCTGCTGGCATACTACTGATTTACGAGCAGCAAACAGTGTTGATTAACTGATTGTCCTGAATTAATGTAACTGTTTCGCAATAAGTTGTCCTGTTTTTTGTGTGTTTGAAATTTGGAAGTTGAAATTAAAATGTCAGATCAGTTGGTGTATCTTATAAAAAGTAGTTGTACAGAAAAGGTAAAACTAGTCTCTGCTTGCCACGTGGCTTCAGTTGGTCGACAAGCATGTATGAAAATGAAAATGAGAGCAGCCCATA